AAAGAAGAAATCAAAAGCATTCAAATTGGAAAGGAGGAAGTAAAGCTCTTTATTCCCAGATGACATGATATTGTACATAGAAAACCCTAAAGATTCCACCAAAAAACTACTAGAACTGATAAATGAATCCAGTAAAGTGGCAAGTTACAAAATAAACTTTCAGAAATAGTTACATTTTCATTCACCAATAATAAACTCTCGGAGAGGGAAACTAAGAAAACCATACCATTTACAATTGCATCAAAAAAAAAGTAAAATACCATACTACCCTGGCCTGTGGAAGAGAGTATTTCATGAAGTGTCTCAACCCTGTGCTGAGGTTTTAGACTTAGAAACAAACACCTCTGTACAGACAGATTTGTGGAGGGTGAGAATCAAGGCTAAGGTGTGTATTTTCTCTTATATGAATGGGAGAGAAAGAAGATGACTCAGGAAGCCACTGTAACAGTTCTTAGAAGCTGGGGCCGCTCATTGGCATATACACTACTCCTTACTGCAGGGCAATGTTCCACCTGGATCCAGTTGCAAAGTTTATTTGGAAAGTCGAAGGCCTCTCTTAGTCCTACTGGATTTGCAATGAGCCCTCTATGACCTTTTGCTTTGAGTGCTGTTTCCCTTTTATCAGAGGGTGGCACTGTATAAATTACTATTTTTCCCACAGCATATTCACTTGGATTGCATTATAAATAAAGGAAGGAGAGGCTGCATATTGAGCAGAAGTCACCATTCAAGGATAAAGTGGGCTTCCTATATACTTCTAAACTGCTTTAATAGAAGTATTCAAATCTCTTGAATAGTGAGCTGGAAAGGCTACAGGAGAAAAGGGATTTCTGTTTTCATTAGAAAATTTTATGATTAAGGAAACCTTTAAAAACTGATCTCATGAATTGTGGTGCTCATGTGGCTTTAGTTGTTTGTTGCTTTCCTTAATGAATGAGACTCATTACTATTCAGCAGTAAAAAAAAAAGTATCTCTTATCCATTGAGAAGCATGGAGGGACCTGGAGTATATAACACGAAGTGAAATAAGTCAGTCAGAGAAAGACAAGTATCACATGATCTCACTTATATGTGGACTCTAAGTAACAAAATAATCTGATGAACCGAGTGGATCCAGAGACATGAAAGCATGGAACAGAGTGCAGAATCTCGGAGGGAAGGTAGGGGAGGGTGGGTGGGAGGGAGGTAATCAACAAAGGACCTTGTATGCATATATGCATGGCCAATGGGGCGGTGAGGGCCTGGGGAGGAGAGTGGGGGCGGGGTGGTGGGGGTCAATACGGGGGAAGGGGAAGAATCAAAAAAATATGACTAAGTGTCAAGAAAAATACCAACTCTTAGATGATCCAGATATTGAATTTTTAACTGTGTTTCATGAAGTAACTGTAAATAAATGCAAAGGGAAAGACAGAAATTCTCATGAGAAAAATTTAAAAGTTTTCAAAAGAACATAACTGGGAATTTCAGAACTTTATCATACCAGCATTAAAAAATTTATTAGTTGAGCTCAATAGGGACATAGAAATGAAAGAAGAAAGAGTGAATATAAAGACAGCTAAACAAACATAAAATCTGAAGAACACAGTTCTGGGGTCCAACCCCAGCAGGTCCAGGGGTCCCCAAAGGTGTGGATGGAGTCGGCGAAGAAGGAATGACACGGAGACAGCGTTCAGTTGAACAGCAGCCTAGCCAGGATCTCTAGCCAGGATCTCCAGCCAAGTTCTGGTCTGGATCTCCAGCGAAGTTCTGATAAGGATCTCCAGCGAAGTTCTGGTTAAGATCTCCAGCCAGGTTCTGTGTCCATGTTCTCTTGCTAGGTTCTCCAGGTTCTCCAGCCAGGTTCTGTAGCCATGTTCCCTCGCTAGGTTCTCCAGCCAGGTTCTGTCAAGGTTCTCCAGCCAGGTTCAGTCACCAGGTTCTAGTCAGGTTCTCTTGCCATGTTCTATCCAGGTTCTGTAGCCAAGTTCTGTCTCTAGGATCTTAAGCCAGGTTCTCTCACTAGGTTCTGTTGCCAGTTTCTGTCCAGGATCTTTTGCCATGTTCTCTCCAGCGAAGTTCTTCTGTCTCTAGGTTCTGTGTAGGTTCTGTGTCTAGGTTCTGTCTTCTAAGTTGTGTGTAGGTTCTAAGTTCTGTCTCTCGTTGTCTTGTTGCATCTGTATTTATACCAGTTGATTCTAATCCTATCAATCTCTATTCCAAAGGTTAGGGCGTTTCTTATCTCCATTCCAGGGAGTAAAGATTATGTACTTAAGCATGATTGTTCGTAGTTAAAGTGATTAATTACCCGCCTGGCAGTTAAGAGGTTTTATTCCCTCCTTAACTTCAGGGGGAAAATCTCTACCTGGGGAAACAACCTTTCTCGGAGAGGTGACCTTGGTTAAAACACATAGTGCCAAGAAGGTGAGCAAACATATTAAGAACAGTATGCCATATATGCCAGGTCCCTTGAAAACAGCAAGGATGGACCGGCTCCTGGCAACACAGAAGAAAAAAAATGAGGAAAAGGGAACTAAGCTTCAGAAATCTGTGGAGTAATCTATCTATACTAATAAAAGGATAATATGCTAATTAGATAGGATAGACTGGACGTCTTCCGGACGTCCTTCTGGACAAAGCTGCAGTAGCTGCAAGGGCCAAGGAGGGCTGGCGGCCGGCAGTGGCAGCAGCAGTTGGGTGATGGGACGGCGCCATCCCCTCATCAGCCCGGTCACCTCCCACAGAGGGAGGCCAGACTGCAGCTTAGGCCTACTTCCCCTGGGGAGCGAGCATAAGCCATCAGTAGGACATCTCCTGAGGGCTCCCAGAATGTGAGAGGGGTCAGGCCAGCCTGAGGGACCGCCCTCAGTGCATGAATATTTGTGCACCGTGCCTCTAATATATAATAATAAAAGGTTAAAATACTAATTAGACCAGATGTCTTCCAAACATCATTTCGAAGAAGCCGGGGCCTGAGGGAAGTCAGCCTGGCTCCCGGGTGCCTGCAGGCGGCCCAGGGAAGCCAGCACAGGTCCTGGGTGCCTGTGGGCGGCCCAGAGGAAGACAGCCAGAGTTCCGGGTGCTGCGGGTGGCCCAGGGAAGAAGGCAGCCCTGGAGAAGCCAGCCCAGGTCTCAGGTGCCTGTGGGCAGCCCAGGAGAAGCCAGCCAGGGTCCCAGGTGCATGCAAGAGGCTGGGGGAAGCCAGCCCAGGTCTCGAGTGCCTGCAGGTGGCCCAGGGGAAGCCAGCCCTGTTCCCAGGTGCCTGCAGGCGGCCGAAGAAAGCCAGCCCAGATCCTGGATGCCAGTGTCGGCAGCCGGGAGAAGGAAGGCCTACTCTTTTTTTTTTAAATGGTTTCAGAGAGGAAGGCAGAGGGAGAGAGAGAGAAACATCAATGATGCGAGAGAATCATTGATCAGCTGCCTTCTGCATGACCCCCACTGGGAATTGAGCCCGCAACCCAGGCATGTGCCATTGACTGGAATCGAACCTGGGACCCTTCAGTCCAAAGGCCAACACTCTATCCACTGAGCCAAACCAGTTAGGGCAGGAAGGCCTATTCTTGCATGAATTTTTGTGCATCAGGTCTCTAGTAATAATAATAAAAACATAATATGCAAATTGACCGAATGACCAAACAGCAAAACGACCATCCAGATGACCTTCTGGACGACCACGCAATGACACCCACTGGCACCAGGCCAGTCAAGGCGGGTGCGATGCAATTGGTCGGGGGCCCAACCATCACCGCATGATCACCCTGCAGAGGGAGGCCGAGGCCACTGGCCAAAAGGGCAATCAATCAATCCGGGGGCCCCACAATCACCCCAAAGAGGGAGGCCAAGGCCACCGACCGGTAGGCTGCAGCAGGTGGGCAGCCATCCCTCTGTGGGGTGCAATTGATCACATGATCACCCTGCAGAGGGAGGCCCAGGCCACTGCCTGTCGAGGCAATCGATCAACCGGGGGGCTCCACGATCGCCCTAAAGAGGGAGGCCTAGGCCACCAACTGGTGGGCTGTGGCGGGTGGGCGGGACCTCCCTCTGGGGGCATGATCGATCGCATGATCGCCCTGCAGAGGGAGGCCCAGGCCACTGGTCAGCGGAGCAATCGATCAATCAGGGGGCCCCATGATCACCCCTACAGAGGGAGGCCTAGGCCACTGACCAGTGGGCTGCAGCGGGTGGCCAGGACCTCCCTCTGTAGGGGTGATCCATTGCAGATCCCCGTCAGGTGGGCAGGGCCTGCCTCTTTGGGTGAATCAATAGCGGAGCCCCACAATCGATTGCCCCAAACAGGGAGGCCCGGGATACCCCATGGCGGTGCTGTGGCAAGAGGACAGGGCCTTACTCTGCGGGGGCGATTGATCACGGGGCTCCTGGACTGTGAGAGGGCACAGGTCAGGCTGAGGGATGCACCCTAAGTGCACAAATTTTGTGCACCGGGTCTCTAGTAGTAATAGTAAAAAGCCTAACATATGAGTAATTGGAAATCCAAAAGAAGAAGAAAAAGTACTAGGAATGAAAAAAAAAATATTTGAAGAAATATTTCTTTTTTTCTCTTAAATATATTTTATTGATTTTTACAAAGAGGAAGGGAGAGGGATAGTTAGAAACATCGATGCAAGAGAAACATCGATTAGCTGCCTCATGCACACCTCCTACTGGGGAGGTGCCCGCAACCAAGGTACATGCCCTTGACCAGAATCAAACCTGGGACCTTACAGTTCGCAGGCCGATGCTCTATCCACTGAGATAAACTGGTCAGGGCAAGAAATATTTCTTACTAGGAGAAAGAAAAATATTTGGTTACAAACTTCCAAAATTTGGTGAAAAACATAAATTTACCAATTCATGATGCTCAGTGAACCCCAAGCAGGATAAAATCAAACAAAAGCATAGGGATAAGTACCTTTGGAGAGAACCAAGATGGGAACATAGGCAAATAACTATACTCGCCACCTCCCATAACCACATCAAAATTACAGTTAAAATACAGAACAATCATCATGCAGAACTGCCTGAAAGCTGACTGAACGGAAATCCTACAACTAGAGAAGTAAAGAAAGCACGTTGAGACTTGTAGGAGGGATGGAGGCACAGATGGTGCTGGTCCAACACACACACACGTGCTGTTTTTTTAATTCGGAGGGATATAGTCTCTGTGGAAGCCACCCCGTGAGGAACAAGAGGTCGCATCCCCACACCAGACTGCCAGCACAGGGTTCCAGAGCTGGAAAAAGAAGCTCCCATAACTACAGGCTATAAAAAACAGTGGAGATTGGGGCTCAGTGACAAGGAGGCAGCTGGAGGCCTAGCTATTCCTCTTAAAGGGCCAGCACATGAACTGAACTTACAAAGTTCCTCTGAGCCCTAGTGCCAGAAGAGGCTCTAGGGCAGCGGTTCTCAACCTGTGAGTTGTGACCCCTTTGGCGGTCGAAAGACCCTTTCACAGGGGTCGCCTAAGACTATCCTGCATATCAGATATTTACATTACAATTCATAACAGTAGCAACATTACAGTTATGAAGTAGCAACAAAAATAATTTTATGGTTGGGTCACAACATGAGGAACTGTATTTAAAGGGCCAGAAGGTTGAGAACCACTGCTCTAGGGGACCCAGCAACATACAGGGAGGAACTGGATTGTCTGGCATCAGGGCAGAAATTCCAACTCCCAGATGGAGGTGATTGCAGGGTCATTGTTGCTATGCTGGAAACTCTCTGGTTACAGGTCTGACTGGTAGCCATATCCATTTGCTCTGCCCTGGTGATTCCCTAAGACTCCGTCCCATCCAATTTGCAGCCCAACGAACATGTTTGCAGCAGCTTTTGCTTATGAATGGCCTGTCCTTGCTCAGGCTTCAGACTTTGCTAAACTCTCTCAAAAAAGCTACAGCTGGGTAAATGTGCTCCAAACTTATGGGGAAAAAAAGGCTCAAGACCCTGAACTAGCATGAGCCTGCCTTGCTTCATAGCTGGGCCACGCCTGGGCACCTCCAAGCCCAATACAAATAGCACCTGTTGGCTGGCCCCAGGCAATGGCTGACTTTGCACCTCTCTAGAGGTCCTAGAGCCAGTGTACCTGTAGGACAGCTTCAGATCATACCAGAGTACAACTCTACACATCCACAAGTGACACACTCAAGGGCAGGCTCAATGAGCACCAAAGCCCCATTGAAGCAAGTCCTACTCCATAGAGTGTTTCCTGCACAGCAGATTGCCCACTGGAGCCATAACTAGTCCTCACAGCCATTTGGCCTGGATGTCAATTCCTCCCAATGACTGCCAACAGCAATCAAGGCTCAACTACAAGACTGTGTACACAGCCAACAAAGGGACATACCTGGAGTGCCCAGCTCACATGACTTGGGAGACCGAGCCACTGGCCCCTATCGGACAACTACTAC